TGCAACAAACTGCTCTCCTAATCAGCTTTGTTCTCCTGGGACAATGATGAAGAAAAGAAAAGCTCTGTATACCCCAACATACGCAGCATGTCAGGTGATGACATGTGCTCTGGAGGATGAGGAAGGGCACGGGGCGGGTGTTCTTCCCAAGTGGACGGGAAATGACCACGAAAAGGCCTGAGTCGAAAATTTCTGCAGCGTCAAATGGCATTTTCTCATAACTCAAGATCTTCTGTTCCACCTGTGAAACATTTTATCATAAATGTTCGTTTTGTAAAAGGAATCTCAAATATTTGCTACTTTATGTGAATTTTTATGTGAATCATTGCTCTCCTCGCAAACATCCCTGAAGGCCTGGAAGGAAGCCCCAGTTCATGCTACCTGCACTCCACACGAGCTCACTGACCAATGGTGCACAAGTTGATCAATGATGCCTGGGTGCAAGAGCCCTGAGCTTCACTGTCTATGGCGGCAGACCCTTTTCCCACTCCATCAGGCCTTACACCACCCCTTTTTGAATCATGAAGACAAAACCTCCAATCTCCTCCAGCCCTGAGACCCAGAGAGAGTTCCCTATGGAAGGGCATGTCCAGGGAGAATGTTACAGGAGACATTGTCAGAGGCCACCGGGGAGAACAAGCCTTGTATCTTGGTACGGTGGGGAAGGGAGCAGAAGGGAGAGGGTGCAAGAGAAACCATGGACTCTGTAGGATCAGGTCCAAACTCATGTCCTACAAAAATCTCCCCAATTCTGAGCCCGATCCCGACAAGAAACACTGGGCACTTAGCCGCTTCACTCAGAAGACACTACACCTCCTCTCTAGACCCAAGGCCAGTTCCTGAATCCAGTGGCTCCTGGGAGGGCCTTCAGAAGCCCCTGCAGGAGCCCAGGAGCCGAGAAGTGGAGGCCAGAGGGGATGGGTGTACTGCCAGACTCTGACCACACCCCTCAGGAAGGAGGTGGTGAGGGGTCACAGGAAATAGAAGGAAGAACAGGAGGAGAGCAAGCATTCAAGGAGTTTTAAGAACGGTTGAAGTCATGAAACCAACCGTTTCCTATAGGTGATGTTTTCATGGATGGATATTTGCGTATTATTTACAAATTGGTATGTTTGAGCAGCAGGTGTGCAACATACAGACGGAGACATGGTTTTCGCATTGTATGTTGGTTGGATGGCATGAGTCAGCGGGTAGTTTAAGGTAAATTAAGAACAAAAACAGAAAACAAAAGAGAAAATGAGTCATCAACAAGCAAAAACTCAAACTTTGAATACCTCACTGGAAAATTTTAGGATTTTAGTAAACTTTGCATATTTGGCTTAAAATGCATCAAATCAAAACATATTTTTGAAATCTGTAGGTTATGCAGACAGGGTGGCATTCATTTGCATTCCTGTTTGTAATGCAAATCCAAAGATGACTCACAGACACTTATTTTTTTATTTCCAGGCAAAGAAATCAATGTCAGTTTTATGCTTGCTTGGGAATGCTGTCTCTACATGACCCTGGTTAAGACTATTACTCTATTTTGATTAAGTTGGTGGTGGGAACTGACACTCATCTTTTTGCCTAAGGAAAAAAAAGTACATTCACAAAGTAACATATGAAGTGACTACAAATGAACAAAAATAAAGACACCACTAATCCACATGACGACTTCCTTTCATCTTTTCCCCTCTCGGCAGAACTGGGTGAAGGACTGAGCTCCGAGAGCACCAGCGGCCAGGGCACAGCAGAGCTTCCAAGCCAAGCGGCTCCTCAGCCCTCCCACCGGCCCTGCTAGGCATCGGGGGCCGATGGCAGCGGCCATGGAGGGCTTATTTGAAGCAAGGTCTGATACAACCACAAGCCCCCTTGGCCTTGCGTGTCCAACAGCTGAGGGACAGACACTGGGCTACTCCAGCCACCTGCGCTACAGAAGGTCTCTGCCTTGTGTGCGGGCCTCTTTGGAGGTGGAGGTTTCCCTGCAAGACAGCTGGGCGTCGTGCTCTCTGCATGTCTGGCAACCCCCACCCTTGATGCCTGCTCATCAGTCCGCCCTCTTGGGCGAGGAGGCACACACATGAAGAAACCCCCAGAGCTGTGCCCTTGCAGACAGGAGCGCAATGTCTGGATCCCTTTATCCAGGGAACAAAGATGCCTGTGTCCAAGGACGGGGCCCGTAAGGATCAGCAGCCAGCTTGCTCCTCCCAGAAACCACACTGGTACGAACTATTTCTGGATGAGAAGCACTTGGGCAATGCCACAATGCCAATGGTTGGTGTGACAGAACATCCTTGGTTTTTATGTGAAAATGGCAGCTCAGGACTTTCCCCGCATTATTTGGATTATTAATTTTTTAAAACCATAACACATACACAAAAGGATATGTATAAATATGTGTACGGATGCACATTTTCAAAAAAAATCATAAAATGCCATATATTCATCACCCAGGTTAAAGAAAACAGAATGTTACCATCACTATTGAAGCCCGTCCTGTCTCCCTTTCTCCTCCCCAGATGTAGTAGCTACCCTTAATTCTTGTTAATAATTGCTTTTCTTTACTGTCTTATG